TTACGCGTATTACTATCGACTAAGTTAAACACTCGCTAGAAGCTAACCGCTAGCCCGTTCTTAGCGCCTCGCCTATCGTCGAAGATGCCGCTACTATCTAACCTATTCTCTATGCCTATAAAGGCTCTAGCTACGGCTTAGCTACTACTGCCTAACAATACGGTTACGTAGCTATAGTACAAGCTCCTAGCGCTTCCGATACGCTTGCTACCTTTGCCTACCCTATAGGAAAACACTATAGGCGCCTACGGACAATACTAATATAATACGACGGCAATTAGTATACGTACGCTTAACTTATAAGCTCTCTACTATATGCGCTAGTCCGAGTTAGTAGCAACCGAGGTGTACTAGCTATAATAGATGCTAGCTAAGGCACAGATCCGCGAAGCAACTAAGCGCTAGATAGCCTAGTAGTGTCGTCTTTCCGCTACGGTCTTAAAGGAGTCGCTTACGCTATCGCTAACCTATCTTTACTACGATTTCTTGCGCGTCGCGCCGCAATAGGCAATCCCTATACTATACCTAATCTATAAGGACGCTTTTAAGCTACTCGGCGGCGTATAAGGCAATACTACTAAGAATAAGATCGCGAAGCTTAATATATAGATAGCTAACTACTTTAAGCTATACGGTGCTATACGCGACGCCGATACGCTGCTATTGCTAGGTACCGACTTCCCTAATATCCCTATCGATTAGTTAGACCGCGCTGCTACTATAGCGGACGCAGTTAATACCTCGCTATCCGATAATAAGACTATAAAGACCGTCGCGCCTTAGCCGTAGCTAAAGGCGGTTTAGACTATACCGACTAGCTTACGCGACGCCCTTCGTAACCGTCGCAATAAATAAGTATAAAACCGACGCAGTTATTACTAGAGAGATACGATTCTATACCTAGCATTACCGTTCTAGTATACTGTTTAGGCTTAGCCTTTATACGACGCTATTACGCTCTTTTGCCTTAAACCTTCCTATAGTGCGGCCTGCTAAGGACCTTTGTTTTAGGACACTATAGACAGTGCCGACCTTTTTTGTAGAAAGGGAGGCTATTACGATATAACACTATTGTATATACGATAGCAGGCAGCGGTTACTATCGACCGCTACGGTCGCTATTGCTACTAATAGTAGGACTATTATATAGATAGCTTGCCTCGCGGCACCTTAGAGAAGGCATTAACTTTTGCACTGCACAACCGTTACGATACCTTCGTACTATAACCGTGTGCCTAGTAGAGAACGCGGGGTTATAGGGTTAGGTCTTAGCACTCGGATTAAATATAGAAGGAGGAAGATAGGAGACATAGAGCCTATTAGAAGGTAACAGTTAGAGCAGATATATACTAGTTTTGTATAGTTTCTAAATTATTCTAAGCTCTTAGGCGTACCGCTATATAGGTATAGGTACTCTTCGATACTCGGAGGTACGGTTTTAAACTGATTAGTCGTCTAGTTTCGCCCTCGTAGACAAGTTATATAGTTTGTAAGCAATATAGCGACTATATAGTATGCCGCAACAGGCTGTTTCTTAATGAACTGCTACTGTTCGAGTGCGCCGTATGTCTAGAGGTTAAAAGACCTTCTAAAGCCGTATTCTATTGCTAATCTTGCCCTAGACATATGCTTGTTCTAGTCCTTCTTGTTAGCACTTAACTAGCGCGACTTATCGTCGTTCTTATATAGCCTTATAACGCTATAACAACACTTATATGCTAGATCGCTATAGAGGTAAAGAAGCCGCCTACTAGGTTGTCTTATTATTCGTTTAATCCGGCGTTAGATACCGGATTAAGTAAAGATCTTCTAGTCGTTGTCCTTGCCTTAGTATAGACCGATTAGACTAGATAGTATGCCGTTAGGTGTTATTATTCCTTAGAATTTGTAACTATGCTTCTTCTTATAGCTAGTATAGTAGACTCTTTAACTATATATCGGTCTATAGGTCCCTCTAAACGTACTATTAACAAATCCCTAGAAACCTCCTGCCTATCCTTGCTCTTTTAATAATCGTGCGAAGGACCGAAGGTTGTTATATTTACGCAGGCGTAGATGCTACTCGAGTAGGTATAAGAAGGTGTTCTTTAGGTGTTCGATTACATCCCCGAAGATTACTAACAATATCGAAACCTGCAGTCTAAACGTGTCCGAGAGCGTCGACTAGGTATACGGAAATAACAAGCGGCGTAGAGTAATACATAGAGCTAATTTAGGTGTTAGTTAGTACCTATATCGGTATATAATAGTGTCGATCTAAAGAAGTGTTACAAGACGAGAAATCTCGGCTTTTATAAACCTAAGGCAGTAATTAGCTAAGTAGCGATAGTAAGGTCGTTAGAAGTTAAGCTTCTAACTTAATCTTCTATATTAACTTCTATAGCGATAGCGATAGCGATATACCTCGTCTTCCGGCGGTACTAGCGATTACTACGATTATTAATATACTAGTCCTTCTTTATATACTCGTTTAGCTCGCGATAGGCCTTCCGCCGGCGCTCTTTAATAGCTATACCTATTACTATTAACAAAGGCACTAATTCGTCGTCCGAGTCGTCTATAGCGGCAGCGCGCTATAGTATTTACCTATAAGCATAGCAAGAGCTAGGCGCTAAGAGATATTAAACATATACGAGATAGACACCTAAGGCTTTATATACTAGGCTATATTCGTCTACTTAGCATTCTTAATCGGGTTGCGTTAAGGTATCTACTCTGCGCTTAAAAACGGCTATAGAATACCCCTAATAGTCTAGAAAAGTACCTAGTATAAAAGAAACGTCGGAGTCGATAAGGGCCTTTATATATCGATCTTAGTATTACTAATCGCAAGACATAATAATATAGGAGTGCGAGAAATAACGAAAGCAAGCTCGTAGAAGTCGTTAGAATAGTCGTAGGTTTTGTATACGCAATCGAAGGGTATATAATAATCTCACTCTAACGTCTAATCTTCCTAAAAGACTAAATATCGGCATTTAAGACTATGTCGTTTAGGACTATAATCTTCTTACGTAGTAAATAATAAGGAATTTGCACTTCTTCTTACGACGCCGCCGTCTTTCTTAGAATTAAAGGTTTTTAAGCAGCAATAGCGCTTCTTCCGGTCTTATTTACTCTAATTCTATTATTAGTAAGTAGGTAGCTTGTTGTTTTCCGGCGCCGACACTGCTTATAATACTACTTATACTGTCCTTCGTAGTCTTATCTCGCCTCGATTATAGAATCTTTTTGCGTCGCTATTAGTCCTAACATCCTGTTTACTTACTATCTCGTCTCTAATCTCTTCTTCTCTCCTCTTCTATTCCGTATACGATATCCTTAGGAAAGATAGTAGTAAAAGGTATTAAATAGCTGTTCGGTATGCTTCTTATATAATACACTACTAGGGCGTTGTTAGTAATAGGGTAGTAGATCGGTCTCTAGATATTAATAATCGCCTAACGATATCTCTATACTTATAGGACATGCTCTAGGAATGCCGATTCTAATAGACGCTAGGCTCCTTTATAAGATTAGTCGACGTAGACAAATTTTCCGTATAAGGGCGTAATAAAGCGTCCGTAATAATCGTAGAGATGCCTTTCTGCTTCTACGGCCTAAGCCTAGGGTATAGTATCTAGCGGACGATCTAGTTACGCACTATTGTAACCTTTAACGCAGACGTGCTAACTATTATTAGCAAAGTATCGTTATAGTAGCAGGACTTAAGGTACGTACTATCGCTTAAAGATTTAAGCGCACTCCTTATAGTACTTACTATAGACGCGCTTAATCTTTTCTTAATTATCGAATTCCTTCTTATAGCTTTCTTCTTTAATTAACTAGAAGCCTTATAGATTTCGCTTAGCCTTCTCTTTATACGCTCGGAGGTCTCGTATCTTAACTTATACTAATGCCTACCTCCGCTACTTGTCGCTAGCCGTACTAGGATAGAATACTATATCGCTACCTTAATTAGGCTCGAGGTAGTAGTTTAGCGTAGCGGTTACCTTCTTCGAAATTGCGGAAAGGGGGCTAACTAATATAGTAACTAGTTACCTTCTACTACGCTATATAATTATCTATAATAACAACTTTATAACAATTGTTAATTAGGCTTTCTAGGGCTTAAGTATGCATCGGGTTGCGACTCTCGCTATATATATATTCGAGTATTATACGAATACGGGAAAGCCGGGCAGGTAAACTAAATACCTATACTGTTTTAACTAACCTGCTATCTAGGAAATAGAGGAGCTTAGATAGCCTTAGACGTAGGAATAGTCTGTACTCTATAGAGATAACCCTGTCTAGAGATTTAACTATAGTGTATATAAAACTAGTAGACTAATATAGTCGCTACGGCTTTTTAAATAGCTATAGATGTCTATACCTCTTACTAAGGGACTAATATACTATTTCCTACCTTCTGCTAACAATCTCTTATACGATTAGTATATCGACGTTACTTCTAACCTATAGTTAGTCTATTTTAGTCTATACGATAGAAACTGTAGCAGTTCTTATAGCTACGTAGACTAACAACTCTAACCCTGTCGTCGTTGCAATAGTAGAGTCTCTTACAAGCATTAAAGCGTTGCTTACCTAGGAACTAGATTCGAGTATAAATAGTGCGCACGATCGCTCGCTTTCTATCGTTTCTATAGTATACAAACCTAATCTTAATTACACAGTCGTCAAAAAACAACAACAATACACTATACTATGCGGTCTATACTTACCTTCGCAACTTCTATTATCGCTCTCGTTCCCACCGTTTCGGCAACGCTTAACGGAGGTCGATGTGCTTGCGATCACATTAGGAGTTGCCAGACTTCCGGGGCTTCCGCATGTATACAGATTGCGAATGATGGTCCAAACTGTGTCGACAAGACTTCACTCTGCGATAGCGCGTGCCCTGCCAATTCATTCAAGTACAAGAAGCATGAGTGAGTACGCGGATTTTTGAGTTGTCGATTACTTTTTAACGCGTAATATAATAATAGCTCGGTGGACGATCAATGTATTTGCAGCCAATTCAATAGCGCCGACTTGGGAGGCTGCGACTAGTATGCCGAAGTGCGCATATGTGGTACGCAGCTAAAAGGCTCAAATCGGGTGAGATGCGAAGTGTCGTATAAGAGGAGAATTTGGGAGATGTATGGGATGACTTCGATCTACAACGTGTAGTAGATAGTAAAAGATACTTGTTGCTGGAGCTTTCAAATAATAAGACTGATCTTTCGACATTTTCAGCACTTCGCAATGCGGCTCTCTTTTGCGGTGAAAATGGCACCAATGCCGTGCCTACCACTTGTAGCTTGGCGCTTAGGGACTTCTCCGTGAGTCCATGTTGGGTGAGTAGTGGTTTCTGCTTCCATTCGTCGGAATCGGAGCTGCAGCTTTCGCACTGCTCGTAGAATAGAAACAGCCAACCTAGGCACGGAAGACGGAACCGAAGAACTGGCCTACGTCGCTTAGACCAACCTGTAAAGTCTTGCTGGCGCAACTGGCAGTAGCCATGAAGCAGCGTCTTACACGGACATCCTAGTGTCAGACGCGGGACGCAGGCGACCAGTACAGCACCGCACAAAGTACTTGTTGTCTTTGCCGGTTCGCCGAGCTGGATGTTGTGATAATTTCAATTTCCAATAATCCAGAGTGGCGTCGTCGCGAAAGCAGTGCTCATTTCGAGATACAAAGGTACGACAGGACCAAGAAAGAGAGCAGGACGTCGCAAAAGGAATGCTCAACATGGGACTGTGTGCAAGTGCAACATCATTTGTTGTGGTGGTTCTTCCGTTGTAGCCAAAATAGAAACTCGAAAGTGTGGAGGGAGGCTCGGAATAGGCAGGTGGGAGGTGTTGAGAAATTACTGCTTACGTACCACATCCTTCAAACTCGCATCGGCTTGATGAGGTTCCTTCGAGTTGAGACAAGTCACAACGGAGGCGAGTCATCTGGCCAAGCCAAGCCGCGGAGAGGAGTAGTTTGGTCGCGGGTGGTTGGCTGGACGCGTGACACGAGCTTGGCTACGCGTGTGTATAGACTCGCGATGCTGTTGTCGCCTCGCAGCTGCTGTACAGCAAGAATTATTATTATTATTTCATGGTTGTTGTTGCTTGTCCGGCCGTTGACGCGTTGCAGGCCATGTCAGGTGCTTGGTGACGGCGCGACCGTGAGTCCGTAAGGGCGTGATCGATCGTTTTCGCGCACCGCCGCCGCCGCCGCCGTTGTGTGAAAGTCGCTCGCACCTCTCAAGCCACCGCCGTCGCTGTTACCGGACCGCTGCTTCCTGCCACACCTGCGACGCCTGACTATCGGCTGTCGATTGTCATGGAGGCGGTCGGCCTTGGCTATACCGGTATGATATGCATTGGTGGAACACCGCGCCGTGGAAGCTTGACCGCCCGCTCTCTGCTGGGTTGTTCGAGAATCAAAGTGCGCCGCGCCGCGCAGCTGTGGTGGCCGGTGAGGCGAGACGAGGCGAGGCGAGGCGAGGCGCCCTCGACTCGCACACCTGTGACCTGTCTGGCTTTGGTGCGAAGTGTGGTTAGGGCCCCTTTTCGAAACATCGTCGCGGCTAACGATTGGAGGCCCAGTCATCATCAGGCAGACGTGGAGCCGGCAGGAGATTGGCCTCGTATTGTGGTGGATCTGCGCTGCGCTTCGCACCCGAACAGCACATCGACGCCATCGAGAAGTGGTGCTCAGCACACATCGCATACGATAAAATGATGGCACACGCAGGAGCTTGGCATCTATTCTATTCCAGGGCACAGATGAAGCGTCGGCACTCGCTCGCCGACGCCAAGACAAGGATCAACTTTCCACATCACCCAACTCCAAGTGCCCTTCCCACACTTCCCACACCCACACCATCTTGACGCCTCGCAACGGAGCGGCTCACGAGTCACCTGAATGCGCGTGGGTCGGACTCCACACGCCAGCACCAATATCGACAAGGCTACACGTCGGCGTAATGACGGTCCTGGAATCTCCATTGGAGCGCCGTTGATGATGCCAATGAAGCGCCTCAATGCACTGCGGCTGTGCGGCTGCAGGTACACACCGATGCGCAGCCAATCCTCAACGCCATGCAGCCAACTGACGCCGATCATCTCATTTCAAACACTGCTCTCATCCCTGAGCGCTGCCGTGCCGTGCACGTGTGTGCTGAGCTAGCGCAGGAACAGCACAACAAAAGCCATGTGCCTCCCGCCGGCCTCCTATAAACCTCCCCTCCCCTTCACTCACACAGTCCTTGATCGTTGTCCCTCGTTCATCAACGCCCTGCGAACTGTATCTGTAATCCAACTGCCGACATTCTTTTCAAGAACCCAATCTACAACCAACAACATGCGCTCCCAGATCTTCGCTCTCGGCCTGGCCGGCGTTGCCGCTGCTGCCTACGCCCCCCCAGCCTACGGCGATGAGTCGTCTGCTCCAGCTGCCCAAAGCTACGGCGAGGAGACCTCTGCCCCAGCTGCGCCAG